AGATTAGATACTGTATCATGCTAGTGATTTATGTGTGATACTGAATTTGAAGCTTCTTAACAGTTTACATGACAGGTTGTTAGTTTAATAGGATTAGTTTTCTTATCTCAGAGAACAGTCTTAATTTAATTCAACATTTGTGCCAGCCAGCATCAGAATCCCAAGAGACTTCAAATACCAACATGTTTCTCAAAAGGACTCTGGTAAGGGAGGGAAAAAATCAGATTTAAAGTTGAGTGTCTATCCATAGGTTTTTCGCTTACACGGTTATTATTTTTGTGTGTCTATTAATATCACATATAGTAATTCATGTGAATATTTTTCCAGTAAGACTTATTTATTCTAGTATAGGGACTCTGTGTTAAATAATACAATTATAAAATAAGAGTATTCTAACTTATGTTGTAGTTGGAAATTCTAGGCCCCTGAAGCAAAAATTTTTAAATGCGACCCCTTATCATTCAATTGCGAAACAAACAACTAATACTTTGATGGTATTTATGTTTGGGAAGAGAGTAAAAAGAAATAGTTTTGGACTTTCCCCATATAAATTAGAGCCTGGATAATTAGCAGTTAATAAGTGAATGCTTCCCACAAGTTTAAAGGCTATAACTGAAATGGGTATATGATTATGTGTATTATTATATGTGTAGGGTTTCATATAGCCCAATAATCCTTGAGATAATCTGTAAACATCCTTGGTTGGATGAGCAGAACTGTAAACAAGTTAGAAGGGAGCTAGGTGGTAAATTGGGATCTTGGTGTTCATTAGAATATTGTCTGTGGGTTTTGTAATGTCTGGGAGGGGTATAGAGTAACACTAGTAATGAAAATAACAATGATAAAAATGATAGCTCAGATTCGATGGCTTGTAGAAACATTGACTCAAACATAGTGCTATTATCTTGAACTTAGGTGAATGCATTAACAATAAATGATAGCTAATATTTATTACACACTTACTGTGTGCCAAGCTATGATTATTATATACATTATTTTATTCAATCCTCTCTATAACCTTAGGTGATAGTTACTCTTCCCCAATATTACAGAAAAGGATAGAGAGATTAGGTACCTTGCTTAAATTCACACAGTTAATGTGTGCCAGAGCTAAAAATGAAATCCAGGTTAGTCTGACTCCAGAGCCCATATTCCTAACTATTATAGTAAATTGCCATATCATTTTAACCTGTAGAATCACTATCTAGCAAGAATAATAATATATATCATATAAATCAAATATTTTCTGAGTTGATTCATTATTCTTACTGTCATACCCATCATACCCATTTTCTAGCAGGAGTACCTGATATAGAGAGAAATCTGATCAGTGTAGAGAGATTTAACAGAACAGATTTAATAAACGATTTCCTTCATTTGTGAGGTTCATATGAATATCATACAGTGTTTACTTATATTTTACTTAGATTTTTCGGTGCATGTTGAAGATAAAAGAGCATCTCTTAGACTGCAATGCTCTCTGAGCAAGACACAGATAACTTGGGCCTTAATGTGGTTTTCAAAACAACAGAGCCTTATTGGTATGTGTTAGAAAACAGTCCTTTTTGTGGAAGGCAGGGCAAAACAGAAGAGGAAAAACCAATCTGAAATGCTTTTCCTTTTCTAAGAGGGCAGCTAAGGTGCCCAGATATCTTTGCCCTCCAGGGGTGCAGGTGTGCAGTTTTTATACTTTAATCATTCACATAAATTAAAGCCTATTCCTTTGCATTCAAAAATAATATAAAATGACACTCTCTATGTTTTATTGCCAGGCAAGAGCTTTGAACTTCTGTCTCATTGAAGTTTGATAAACTGCAAGGGTTTTCCAGGATTGGGTGGTACACTTAACCACAGAGGGAGCAATGCACTGATAAGAACTGCAGGTGAAGGAAACCACCATGGAGCAGCTACTAGAGATTGGCTACTGTGAAATTATCTGTAGGGAACAACTTTTCCCCACCTCACCTGCTTTCTTAGTTCCTTCCCTTTTCCCAGATGAAAAAAACACCAGGGCTTTCTGATACCTTTTTGTGAACTGGTAGTGGATGGGGTGAATACTTTGTGATAGGGTGGTTCTTTGTAAGAAACTGAAATTTGGTGACAAGCTCTAACTTCACACAAATGCAGATTAGCATGTACACCTATGCCAGTGGGGAAAGGACACACACATATCACATGACACAGATAAACCAATTTCTTAAGTGATTTTATTATCAACACACACACCTCCCTCTGTGATCTGTGTAAAATAAAGATAACATTTGCTTCCAAAACTGATTATAAAATGTCAGTGATGCAGTGGTGTGGTGTAAAGAGGATAGGTTCTTGGTTTGAGATGAACCTTGGTTCAGATCTTGGCTTCTCTTACTAGCTGTGTAAATGAGCAAGTTACTTTAATTCTATGTGTCTTAGTTCTCCCATTTGTAAAGAGGAAGTAATCAAACTATCTGTCATAGGATTGTTGTGAAGACTAAATAAAATAAGTCATGTAAAACAACTGGCAGAATATTAGGCACTTTGTTCAGTAAATTGCATAGGAGCTCAAATTGATAGCTGTTATTACTATCAGTATTATTGTATGTAATATTAAAGTAAACATCTGGTTGATAGATGAATGTTAAATATAGTCCTTTTTCTTTCTTTTTTGTATTCTAGAAGAGTCTTCCTTTTTTTTTTTCTTTTTACATTGCTGAGGGGAGCAGCGGGCTGCAGGAGAGGTCTGCACGCCATGTAGGACTCTCAACAGCGGCCGGGGATGGAACTGGCGCTGCAGAGACTGTGGGCAGCTTCACAGCCCAGCGCTCAACTACTGGGCAACCAGGGGAGGCCCCTCCTTTTTTTTTTTAAGGAGGAAAAAAGTACTTTGATTCTAACTGCTCTGAAAAACATTTCTCCTTTAAACAGCTGTCACGTTGACTTTTAGTCCCATGAGCTAGAATGTAGTAGCAGTATGATTTGCTTCTCAGTGAGATTCTTTCACAGCTACCATCAAAAAAAAAAAAAAAAAAAAAAAAGTCCTGTACTAACCTTAGGTAGATCTATATCACAAAGCCCATATAGACCCAGGAAGAAATCTTTTGGTAAGACCAAGATAAGTGAGTAGAAGAAGAGGAAAATACAGAGGTGAAAATATAACTTCTTTTAATGTTTGTTTGGCCATTTTTCCCAATTCATGCTAATTTTGATTATTGCTATTTTGAAGACAATTAATTTTAGAAATTGGCATATATTATCTCAAAACTTCACTTTGCCATTTTTTTAGAGAAATAGTTTTCCAGTTAGATGAACTCTTTTTTTTTCTTTTGCAGAAGTACTAGAGTGCAGGCCAGAGGTGCAAGGGGTGAGAGGATTCATCAGAACCAGAGTGGGGAGCAGAACAGGCAGATTTTCTGAGATACACGGCTAAGGGGAGCAACGGGTGAGACAGGAGAGGTCTGCTTTGCCCTCTGTGGATTAGCTCCCTGGCTGGGGATCAAACTCAGGCCATAGCAATGAAAGTGCTGAGATTTAACCCCTAGGCCACCAAGGAGACCACTGATGAAGCATTAATCTTATTTTTGCATCATTTTGGAGGGATTGGAGCTGCTGGAGAACATTCACAGTGGTTGACAGAACATGTCATAGAAGGTCAACTTGTCATTCACCTGGGTTTAAAGCTGATGCAAATGTGGTGAAACCATGGTCAGTGAAGACTTTCTTGAGTCCAGCTGGTGTAGATAAACTTATTTGCTTTATTTAAAAGACCTCCAGGACTTCAAGAATAGCTTTTGGAAGTACCCATTTTTATAAATTTCAGATAATTTCTCCGTATTTTCAGGAGGGATGAAACTGTGAAAGAAGCAAATGTTCATCTTGGTAGCAATTTCATAGAATTGCGTTTTGACAGAATATCCATAAGTCTTGGTTTTTTGTTCTCACTATTCAGAAGAAACTATTTGAAAAATGTTTTTGAATGGTAAATAGAAACACTGAATTGGAAGTTTGTATGTGAAGTGTGCTACGATACACTATTGTATCTAATGAGAAAATTCAGGGAAGGGAAAAAAAGCAATTGTTGAGAACCTGCTAAATCAGAAATTCTACCCTGTGTTGTTCACTGAAGTAAGTCCCCAAAAGCCCACGGAGACAAGCTTTTAAGAAAATATGTTATCAAGCAAGTCAGGCACCATGGTGTGATGTGTGTTATCTTATTTAATTCTCATAAGCTTATGATGGAAATAGTAGTTATGTTGCGAAAGTAATAGCGTTAGTCACATTTTTCAGTGATGCATTAGAGAGTGGTTGGCTCAACAGTGGTTGAGCACAGAGGTCGCAGAGTTTGGTATTGGTAGGGCTAAGGATGGAACTCAGGACTCTAAATTTTAAAGCCCTAATTCTGACCCAGTGATTTCTTAAATTTCAGGGTACAAGAAGCAACAAGGGCACTTCTGCAGCCAGTGCAGAAAACGTAATTTCTGATAAATCAAGCTGCACAGATTTCATGGTCTTACTATTACCAAGGTTCACAACTTACAACGCCAGCATTGAAATATTCATGGTCCCTAGACTTTTCAGTGAAATTTTTTAAACTAAAGAAATATTTTTTCTTTGCAATCAGATCATTTATACTTCAGACATGGAGCCACTATTTCCTGGGCCTAATTTCTGAAACATTTAGAAGTAGAAGAGGGTAGAAAAATGTGAGAAGAAAAAAAATTCCAGGTATATCTGCTAAATGTTGCTAAAACTCATCATCATCAACTCACCCTCATCACTGAAATGAAGAATAAAGAGTTGATGCTAATACTAACAGCCAATCACATGGAAATAGGTCATCTCCCATTCTACCTTTTGAGACCGTAGCTCAGTTAGGGCCAGCATGCGTGGATTGACTATTTCAGTCGACTTCCCAGAGCACAGCCTGCACCTTGATTAATTTTCATGGCCTCCTAGGATTGGGAAGGACTTTTTTATTTTGTCTTTCTCTCACTTTTTTCTTTCTCTCTTATTTTTGTTTGCAGCTCAGAGACATGTCCTCACATACATGGAGGATGCAGTGTGTCAGCTACTAGAGAACAAGGAAGATATTAGCCAATATGGCATTGCCAGATTCTTCACTGAATAGTAAGTACATGACTGTTTTACTATAAGGTGCCAGACAGAGGCAGCACTTGGAAGCAGGACAGGCACATGAAGAATAGAGGTGGCCTATGGGTTAAGTCTCAGTGCTATCACTGCTTCGGCCTGAGTTCAATCCCCAGCTAGGGAGCTAATCCACATATGCTGTGGGAGCCGTCTTCTGTCTTACCCGCTGCTCCCCTCAGCAGTGTATTTCAGTCAGTCTGCCTGTTCTGCTCCTCACTGTGTCTCTGGTGAATCCTCTCCCTGCACCTCTGGCCTATACTCCAGTTCTTCTATGCAAAAATAAAATAAATAAAATCTTAAAAAAAAAAAGAATAGAGCAAGACAATGCTAATTATGGAGTAGCAATGAACACTTGGTTTTGGTAGATTGATTGAGGGGTGTTCAAATCTGTTTTGGAGCATGGCTTTGGTGCAATAGTTTTGTCCACTGAAAAGTCTCATAAACGGTCATGACAGCAGCGCTCAGTAGCTGTCTCTTGACCTGTTAGATATGTTTCTTTAGGTCCCTCTTACAATTTTTAACTTTCTCTGTGATTCAAAATATTCATTCCCATTTCCTTTTAGAAAATGTACTTCTAACCTGTGTTTTTCATGGCTCAGTTCTTTCATGAAAATATTTAGGATAATGTTCTTTTTCATTTCTCTTTCTACAGGATGCTGTGCCATCAGTGATTTAAGACTATTTCTAGTAGCAGGATATATTTCATAGATTATATCTTTGAAAGGGTTTTTTTTTTTGTACAGTAATCTTTGAGTGTATCAAAGTCAAAAACAATACCTTTTTTAAATATTACAAAAGTGTTTTGGGCTGAATGAGATAGTAATGTTAAAACACCTTGGTTTTCTTTAAAACACCTTAAAAGGATGTGCAAAATAAATATAAAGCATTTTTAATACCAATATACTACATATATTTATGTAATAATTTTGGATTATCTTTATTTTTTTAGTTTATTGGGATCTTTCTAAGAAAGAGTGGCCTCTTACAAAATTTTATTTAAAATGACTCATTAACTCAAGTCCATCCTCCTTGAACTCAGCTATTTCCTTTCTATTCTTCAGAGGTTCCTTGAAGATCAGATATCTTTCTTATCACCTAAACGTAGGTTGCTCTTAAGGGAATTCTTTCTCTAGCTCTTTTGCTGAGTTAAGGTCTTATAAATAAAAATCTAGATTCCTTATGGATAGGAATTTCAAGATCCTGGGAAAAGCAGGCTTTCCAGGCACAGAGCTGGTCCTTTCTCCCAATTTTCTAAAGGAGAATGAAGTGGAGAAAGGAATCATCCTTGTTCTCATAGTGTGGGCTGAAGCAAATGAGGTGGGCAGGGAATAAAGACTGAGATTGAATAGCCTTCCTTGCTTTTACAGGACCTACAAGTCTAGGGGTCAAGTTTCTGGGCTGTTTAATCTACACCAGTACTCTTGAGGCTCCTTGCCAAGTGAAATATGATTCTTCTGGGGGCAATGTGTCTTCCCTGCTTTTTCCATTTTACTCCCTACCTATCTCCCTCCACCCCCCATCTCCTTTATAAGTCTTTCCCCTGTTATACTGTTTTCTTGAAGGTAGGTATCATTTTCTTCATCTTTGTTTACTCCCAGTGCCTTGCACAATGCTTAGCATATAGCAGGTGTTAGGTAAATGTTGAATCTATAGCTCTATCTATATTTAAAGTTATTGCATATTATCTTCTCTTATTCTTGATCTTGTTACTAATAAAGACTGTCTCTTTTGTTGATCCTTTTTGATAAAGCTCTGTATTCAGCCATTTAAGAATCTGCAAACCATGTGTATAGCACTCCAAAAGTGAACTCCACTTGTCTGTGTAACCAAAACAACACTAGAGAGCCAGTAATAAAGCTTACAACTGTTTCAGAATGCTGTTGCCTGGAGTTTTGATCTATCAATATGCTGTTGAAAATTTTTGAGATTTTCCACAGTACTGATAGAAATCTGGTTGCCAAGTGAGCTGTTTCTTATCCTTGGGAAATTTAAAATTACATAATATATGTGACTGGCACATACCTGACACTTTGATAACTGACACACCATATTGGCTTGAGGCAAATTATTTTGAGAAGTGAATCAACATCAAAGCTCTAAAATCCTTTTAAAAAAGACTTGAAAGATGTGGATGTATGATAGAATTAGAAGTAGTATTTGGTAGACAAGGAGACCTGAATAATAGAAACTCCTGATTTTACTTTGATTGTGAATTTTATTTACCTGGTGAAAATCCTTCTTTTTCAGGCCTGTTTTGTATTGCTGCATAGTAGCACGATGTGAAAAGAGCTCTGCTCTAGGCAGAAGAGCTACTTATTTGTATAAGTCCTTGCTCTATAATCTTGGGCAAATTTCTGAAATTTTTTCATCTTCAGTTGCCTAATCTATGAAATGCAGTAATTCAAGTTTGATGATTGTGATGTAGAAAGTATGTATTATAATAAGCAGTTTTTTATTAAATTGTCATACTATGTCTCAGGCACTATACTTACTTGAAATAGGTACTATTATCTGTCTTATAGGTGAGGAAACTGGGGTTCAAAAGGGTTAAAACAGCTTTTTTTAATATAAATTTTATTTTTATATTCCCCATACAATTGCAACCCCCTTATTTTGACCCCAATCCCTCCCCCAACCCCACCCCCCCCATAGAGTGTCTCTGGTTCATAGTTGTTTGTTGATTTTGATTTTTACTTTCTTATAGTTATTCTTTTTCCTGGTCCCTTATTTGAGTTTTCTAGATTCCTGCTATGAGTGAGACCATCCGGTATTTTTCTTTTTCTTTCTGGCTTATTTCGCTGAGCATGATCCCTTCCAGTGCCATCCATGTTGCTGCAAATGGCATGTGTTTATCTTTTTTGAATGCTGAGTAATATTCCATGGTGTATATGTACCACATCTTCTTGATCCAGTCATCTATTTTTGGGCATTTGGGTTGCTTCCAAAGCTTAGCTATTGTAAGTAGTGCTGCTATAAACATAGGGGTGCAGGTGCTCTTTGGAATTGATGTTTCTGTGTCCTTTGGGTAAATACCTAGGAGTGGAATTGCTGGATCATATGGAAGCTTTATGTTTAGTAGGTCAAGAAATCTCCACACAGCTCTCCACAGTGGTTGGACCAGTTTGCACTCCCACCAACAGTGCAGGAGAGTTCCTTTTTCTCCACAACCTCGCCAACATTTGTTGTTGCTAGTTTTTTAATATGTGCCATTCTCACTGGTGTAAGATGGTATCTCATGGTAGTTTTGATTTGCATTTCCCTGATTACAAGTGATGTTGAACATCTTTTTCATATGCCTGTTGGCCACTTGCATTTCCTCTTCAGAGAAGTTTCTTTTTAGCTCTTCTGCCCATTTTTTTTTTTCCTCTAATAACATTTTGCTTTCTTCTGCCCATTTTTTGACTGGATTATTTTCTTTGTTTTTGTTGAGTCTCATTAGCTCTTTGTAGATTTTTGTGATCAGTCCTTTATCATTAGTGTTGTGTGCAAAAATGTTTTCCCAGTCGGTGGGGTTTCTCTTTGTTTTTGTTATTGTCTCTAGCTGTGCATAAGCTCTTTAATTTGATGTAGTCCCAGCTTAAAACAGCTTCTTTAGGCCTCCCTGGTGGTGCAAGGGGTTAAGATGCAGCCTATGGAGCTATCCTGTCCGTAGCCACTGAAAACAAGTTCGGTCCCTGGTCAGCCAGGGAGTGACCCACATGGTGCAGCAGACCTCTCCTGACTCGCCCGCTGCTCCCTTCAGCAGTGCATTTCAGTCAATCTGCCTGTTCTGTTTCCCGCTCTGTCTTTGGTGAATCCTCTCACCCCCCACACCTCTAGCCTGTACTCCAGTTCTTGTATGCATAAATAAATAAATCTTAAAAAAACAAGCAAACAGCTTCTTTCAGTTCACAAGCTAAAAGTGACAGAGTTAGCAATCAAGCCTGCTTTTCAGTATTACAAAGGCCTCTATTCTGTACTTCTTTTAGTCATTATACTGCCTGATATTATTACAGACCTAACTAGATGATATTTTGAGGTTCTTCTAGCTGTAATTTCTCAATTCATCGAGTTTTCCCTTTTGAACTATATTTCCCAAAGCTTATCACATAGCCTTGTCTGGTGATCTCAGTTCATTGTCATATAAGTGTTTAGTCTTGGCCTTTTTGGGAGATATAGTTGGCTATGTCTCTAAACAATAGGAAGCATGAGTTTAAAAAAAAAAGTTAACTATACACTTCCATCTCTGTTTCAACTCCACACCTCTAGATTTTCATACATTTAGTGATGGATGATTTGCCTTTGGACAATGATAAAAGTACTCTTCAAAACTCTTTTTTTAAAGCTTTCTCTACTCATTTTACTCTCTGGGTCCACTTGTTCTCTCACCTGCACTGTCATTCCTTGGTTGTTAGTGTTTTCCAACAAATCCTTGATTGCTCCAGCAAATCAGGATATGCTGTAAAACATGAATAGCGAAGCTGCACTACACATGTATATCTGCAAGACTTTGAACTCTTAGATCATATTCCTCTGGACACGGTTGAGAGAAGGATACTAAATCCTGAAGGATTTTCTTTTATGTTATATGCAGCCTCTATCTCTGAATGTTGTCTTTCAACCAGTGGAAGGTAAAAGGAATTAATATTTAGAGGTGCCACTCTAAAAATAGACCAAATGTCAGCACCGGGTCAGGACCTCTGGGGAAGTACATCCAAGAAAAAGAGACTAGAGTAGCTATAACTTAGAAACCACAGCACAGTGTGACCAGGTTCTTGTGGTAGAGACAAAATGAGATGTGGCTTTTTAAGACATTGAAAAATAATGATGAGAGAAAAACAGGCTGAAATATGAGAATTCCTATCAGAAATGGGAACCATTCTTCACAGGCAAAATTGATAGTTACAACACTGTGGCATCAGGGAGCTTGACTTCCACATACTAATATAGAAAAGAATGATGCTCTGTGGTCTTGGTTGGTGGGCCCAGGAGGGCTCTTT